AGATGGATGGATGGATGAATAGACGGATGGATGGATGGATGGATGAATAGATGGATGGATGGATGGATGGATGGATGAATAGATGGATAGATGGATGGATGGATGAATAGACGGATGGATGGATGAATAGACAGATGAATGGATGGATGGATGAATAGATGGATGGATGAATAGACAGATGGATGGATGGATGGATGGATGGATGGACGAATGGATGGATGGATGGACGAATGGATGGATGATGGATGGATGAAATGATGGATGAACGGACAGATGGACTCACCCTCCTGGTCTTTCCTGACCCAGGTACTGATGGACTCGTTGAGACCCAGAGTGGCCGCTGAGGGCATGGGTCCCAGGATGGAGGCCAGAGTGGGTCCTTTCCTCCGGGGCACATCTTCCTCCTCCTGCTCCTCCTCCTCCTGCTCCTCCTCCTCCTGAGGTCTGCTGCTCTGCAGTCTGAGGAGGGTCTGCAGCGACAGCTCTGACAGCTCTCTGCCGAAGTGTCTGGCTACGGCCTGGAGCTCATCATCTTCATCGAGCTCTTCATCATCAGCCTCCTTGGTCGGCGTGACGTCAGGCTCCTCACTTTTAAACTCTGAGGAGATCAGCACCGTGTTAGAACCTGGACCGGGTCGAACCGGGTCAGACCAGGTCAGACCTTCCTGATCTGTAAAACCCTCAAACCTTAGCAGATGTTTTGATCTGTTTTCAGAATCAGCTGTAATTCAGACGTTCAGACAGGAAGTCAGAAAGAGGAGGAGCTTCAGTGAGAAACCAGAGGGAAACCAGGAGTGTGGGAAAGAAAGGAGGCAGTGATGAAGAGCCGGAGGAGAGAGCTGAAGACTGCAGCTCAAAGACAAGTGAAAACAGGACAGAGTCTGTCTTCATCAGGTTTAAACCACTAAAGTTCAACAAATCAATAAAACCATCAGAAACAGAAACAGGAGAATAAAATATGATTTATTAAATTATTAAATTATTAGTAAACTCAGCTGGAGCTTCCCTCACCTTCCTTCACGTAGGCAGCATACACGCCCCTCAGCTTGGGTCGGCTCATCTTCAGCTCGGCATCGATTTCATCCTGATACTCCTGGATTTCATCTGGTTCACAAACAAACAAACAAACAAACAAACAAACAAACAAACAAACAAACAAACATTTATGTTCCTTCTGAAACAAAGCTGAAAACAAACCAAGACTCAGACGAAGAAACAAGATTTAGATGTTTCTTCTTAAACATTTAAAATTATGAATTAAACACGATGTGATGAATCACTGAGCGCACCTGAAYATAAGCCACGCCCACTACATTTAAAAACAAACTGTTCTCAGGTGCCTGTTAGCTGCTTTGTTGTTTCAGCTGCTGTTTTCAGAGCTGCAGCTTATAGTCAGGATATTATTAAAACAACAGAACTAAAGAAAACCAAGAGGAGTTAAAGAAACTGAATTTACTGCAGAAACCACAGCTGAAGTTTGTTACAGCAGCTGAAAACAGCTAAAAGWTTGCTTAAACCCAACATTTCAAAACAGTAAGTAAAACAATAGCTGAAATTAGCTACACATGCTAAGAAAAACTTAACAAAAGTTATTTAAAAGAACAAAAACAGCTAATAAACACTACAGCTAAACTTTCAAACAGCTAAAGTTGGAATAAACAAATCAGTAGCTAAAATTAGCAAAACAGCTAAATTTAGAACAAGCAAATCTGTAGCTAAAATTAGCAAAACAGCTAAAGTTAGAACAAACAAATCAGTAGTTAAAATGAGCAAATATGAAGCTAAAAATAACATAAAAAATTAAAAGACTTAAAACAACTTTTTAAAGGACAAAAATATTTTATGTATTTTTATGATGAAGTTTATCTGAAGTAAATCTTTTGAAAAGTCTCAAAGTTAAAACAGCTAAAATCCCATATCTCCTAAATGAGCTGAAGTTTTGCAGCTGACATTCCTACCTTCAACCCTGAACTTCTTCTTCAGCTCCAGTTCCAGCTGGAATGAGGAGGAAACAGAACCATGTCAAACAGGATGAAAGCTGYCGGCTGAAGGACCGTCTGAGGCAGACCAAGTCCTGACCTGTTGGAGCTTCTTCTTCTCCAGTCCAGCTGTGAAACAGGGCGGGTCACACTCCTGGTCCAGATCGATCCTCATGAACTCCTCGATGGTCAGCTGACTGGTGGGCGTGTTCTCAAACTCGTTCAGCCTCACAAAGAAATTTCATTTAGTTTGTAAAAAAAAACAACAACACAAACACCTGATCATTAAGCTGTTACAGTGATAACACAATCTCAGGAGAAAAGAGAGGCGGAGTTTCTTTACTTTAACAATGAATTTAATATTTTCCAACCTGAGAGTTTGTTTCAGTTTTAGGAGGCGATAAAGAAGCGAAACATTTCAGCTCAATCCTCCGTTTTACTGAGAAACACTTTCAGATGAAAGATTCACCTCTTTCTGAGCGTGGCGTCGCAGACTTTCACAACATTTATGATTTCTTTGATGGTTCGACAGAAGTCGTGTAAACGAGCTGCGACCAGCAGAGCTGCAACGACAGGAAGAGGAAACAGTTCCAACAGAAACACGTGCAAAGACTGASAGGTTTTATTTCTGTTTCTGCACCTTCAAGACTAAAGAACCAGGGGGGCGGAGTCAAACGCCTGTCTTTCTGGTTTGAGCACAAAGACACAGTTTTCCTAAGAAATCACACCAACATTATGTAACAAGGTGGCAGCAGGAACAGTTATATAAGCATCATTAGACCTGCTTCACTGAGGACCACACTGAAACATGACTGAAACATTTCACCTGCAGCTGCTGACTTCATCTAAACTGACAAACAGAAGTCAGTCCTGCTCCTTCAGTCCCACTGTTTCCCTCATCAATGATTCAAATGACAAACAATCAATTATTCAGCTGATGCAGCAGAAACATCTGACTGAGGAAGAGGAGGAGGAGGAGGACCACTGCCTCAGCTCAGGACGTCTTCATCACGTGGAAGCTGAGCAGGTTCAGGTGGACAACAACCAGACTCTGCAGGAACAGGTTTCACTAAGACCAGAGACCTGAAGTCAGGGTGGACCAATCCAGCTCTGCTGAACTTTAACAACCGGTTTTAATTTATACTCTGAAAACACAAGAAAMGGGACTAAATTAAAACATCCTGGGTAACAGCTGAGGCTACTTTGATATTATCCTACTGATCTGCAGCAAAATTAAAAATTACTAATACGTAATCTGAMACTCTTCTCAAATTGACAAAAACTTCTAGGTTTTAATCTGGGGATCTTGTCTATTTTTGTATTGATATCTTTATTTGTTTCTTTTAAAAACAACATAAATTCAATATATAATTAGATCTGTACGTCCGTTTTCTTCCTCTTCTCCAGGGTCAGGTCTCGGGGGCAGCAGCATCAGCAGAGACCCAGACCTCCCTCTCTCCAGACACTTGGACCAGCTCCTCTGGGGGAATCCCAAGGTGTTCCCAGGCCAGCTGAGGAACATAGTCCCTCCAGCGTGTCCTGGGTCTTCCTCTGGGTCTCCTCCCAGTGGGACGTGTCCAGAACACCTCACCAGGGAGGAGTCCAGGAGGCATCCTAACCAGATGAACCACCTCAACTGGCTCCTCTCGACGTGGAGGAGCAGCGGCTATACTGGACAAACAATGACTCGTTTTTGTTGCTTGTGTCCGGTATCTTATTCTTTCGGTCATATAGATAGGTCATTTAAGAATATCATCAAATGGCCAGGGCTGCACTATAAATATGTTTTTAATTTGTTAAAAATAATTGATATCGATCCATATGATCGATTTATTAGTCTTTCTTTTTTTTATATGCCTTTTTTTTCTTTATCATCCTGTCCTCTTCATGCCATTTGTCTCTTCTTTCCAGGCTTTAATATAACTGATCTCTGTCACACCACTACTAACAAGAAACAATTTTTTTTCTAATCTCCAT